TTAGTCCATGTAAAGTTCATTTATTTGGTATTCAAGATGAAGCAGTAAGGGAACAAATTAATTATGTTCTTAATGAAAATGAAACTATAGGAAAAGGTCCTAATGGAACTCTTAGTTTGATCTTTGATGGAATTAAGAAATTGAACAAAGGTGAAAAACATTTAAAGATTACTTGTGATAATGCTGGAGGACAGAATAAAAATAACACTACTATTTGATTTTATTTATATTTAGTAATTTGTGGCTATTATGAAAGTATTGAATTGAATTTCATGATTCCTGGACATACCAAATTTAAATGTGATGGTATTTTGAAGTGTGTGTTGGTTCTTTAAGAGTGGTTTACACTGTTTAATTAGTAAGCAAGTTTATTTATTGTGTTGGTAATAACTTGTAGAATGTAAAAGTGGAATTAGTTACAGAATAGAAAGTATTTTGACGTTACATAATTAGTTCATAGCATGAAAAAATTTCAGATTTGTACACATATTAAAGTTTAGATTTACTTTGCTAAATAAATAAAGGTTAATCTGACTCTTCTCTCAGGATGTGATGCAACGAAAAAATTATGGGAATTTCCTAAGCTATTGAAATTAATTAATTGCATTGGCGGTTTCTCTTTTTTTTTTTGAGCCTGTTAAAGCTTTCTGCATGTTTAGGCACTTGCTTCAACTGGTCACCATGAGACAGATGATCTCTGATAGTAAAGTAAAAGGTTTATTACAAAAATTAATAATAACGATATTAGTAGTAGTAATAATAATAATACCGGCAAGTTTAGACCATCTGAGAAGTAGATTCATCAACTGGGGTTTATTTACAATAAAAAGAAACAGACTTGTAAAATAATAAAAACACCCGATTTTGGTGAATTCATAAAAGTATGTTAAAATTATTTTTGATAAAAAAGTTCTTACCGGCTAAGTTTTTCTACAGGATGACATCACTAGTACTAGTTGTCAAGCATTATTTTCTAAAGATAAAATAATAATTTCATTTTTTTCATTTGAAATATTGCAATTCATATATATATATATATTATTGATCTCTATCGCCTGTGCTACCATCAAGGGCATCCAGCGTTGTTTGTTATTAATGATGGGCTTTGCCCATAAACACTCGGTAAACAAACTTCATTTATTATTATTATTATTATATTGAGTTGCTTACTTTATCGAATTTCCATCCATCTTTCTATACTTGTAATGTTATTAAAATA